TGACTATTTCATGGAATAAGTATCAAATTAGGAGCGCACAGGCCTCGTATGTGGGGCAGTTGAAAACACACCCGAACATTTAGTCATTTATCATCAGGCATGTATGGCAGCACCAGTGACTGTGTGTGTGTGTCTCCGTGTTTGTGTGCATGCATGTGATTGAGTGGGAAGATATATATTGTATGTTTATGAGTGACATATGGAACTATAGTGTGTGTGATAGAGTGGGCAGGAGACAGTAAAGGAAGGATTTTTTGGGCTCTTAGGTGTGTTTTGTTGATGTATTCTTCTATAGTTTGTCGGTCCTTAGGTGGGATTTTGGTTTTGTGTGTTTTTGTGTGTGCGGCTGCATAACTATGTCCACCCTTGACTTTTTGTGCACCTTCAAAGCACATTTTGTTTAGTTTTTTGTGCTGCATATAATTGTATCTCTGTGTCTTCAAAAAAAACAAAGAAAACAGAAAAAAGCATCTCTTTCTGCACCCCGCCAGCCAGCCAGTCAGGCAGGTCAGGTTGACTGGTGGCTAAGCTAAGCGTTGGCCCGCTCACTCCCAGGACCTTTACCAGCAGCTCAGCATGCTCAGCTAGAGTTTCCCTGTGTCCGACAGGACCACTAAAAATGCCACAAAAAGAACAAAACAGTGATTGATAAGACGGCTGAAACAAGAGAACGACTTAACATGGCGGCCAGCTGTCTGTCTTTCTGTCGCTCTGCTACTCATGCTTTCCCTCTCTGCCTCCCTTTCTTATTCTACCATTGTGCTGCAACAAACACTCCATTCTGACAGCGGTTGAACTGTGCCGATACCCTCGAGTGTGCGGGGCAGAATGGGAGGCTTGTCAAAGCAGTGGTTGTTTACACTCTGCCAGGAATAATAAGGGGGTCGTTTTTCTGAACCGATTAATCACAAGCAGCCCTTGCACTTGTTTGACGAATATTCCAGACACAGAATAGATGTAGATGGGGGGAAGCAATTTGTTATGGAAAGAAAGCAGCTGATTGTTGTTGATCCGTTCCCGTTGCTATGTTATTAGGATCGGTGTGACACAGCAGAGGCCACAGGCACAAACTGTTTGATGCCCACGATGTTTTAAACAATGAGTGAGTCATATAATCATTGTAAGGATGTTTTTTTTACTGGGTTATATTTATAATTGAAATGATAATAATGAATTCTTTGATGGATTTTATCGGCTCTAGGTGTGCAGAATGGCCTATGGCTTTGTTAATAATAGTGTTATTGTCAGGCTTTTATTTTGCCATACAGAGATTACATGAACAAAACACTTCCGGGGGCAGACCCTGCGTCCAAACTGGAAGTTAAAGAGAAATTCCCAAAATGATCAACTAAATCAAATAATATAAGGCATGTAAAAATTTGCTCTTTTCACTTCTACCTCTCTGTCTGTGTTTTAAGACCTGCAATAAAGATCAGTGGACAGGTTTGCAGTTCACAACAATTCAAACCAAATGGATAGTTGAAAAAATAAAAATGTAATAACGCCCCCCTACCACAAGCTTTATTTCAAAACTGCCTTCAGAAACACTGGCAAGTCACTTATGTGTCTCAGTCACACACGTCCAGGTGCAAAAAATGAAAGAGTCACATGTCCTGTACAGAGTACGTTAATGGTTTGCAGCTCACCCGCTGATCTATGTATGTTTAATTGGACGATCAGATGACACTAAACCTGCTCTGTGAAAAATTACCCCCTGATAGGTTCTTTTTTCTACATTCTCATTCTGCTGTTTGACCGAGTGATATTTGGACTACATTGATGCGATGCTGATGCTGAACCAAATCAAAGCATGAGTAGAAAGGAGTTTCTAATCTTTTCATCTGACGTTTTTATTGAATGCGTCTTGGAGCAACGGAGGGCTCCTTTAAGACCCTGCCAGAGTCACTTAAGGAAATCAGACTGGGGGTTTTGGGAGCCTGCAGGGGTTCATTAGGACCAGACTGATCCAACTTCCTCTGCCAGGGAGGAAAAGGAGAACACAGAAACACGGAGAGGGAAATGAATAAGAGAAGTAACCACCAGAGAGTGAGGGCTAGAGAGCTGAGGGAGGAGATGAGTGACCAGACAGAAAACGGGGCGAGAGACAGCAAGAAACAGGGTGGAAAAAGAAACTCACCACAGGAACCGTGCGACAGGCGGGGAGTAGAATGAGAAAAACGAAAGATTGAGGGAGAGCAAAGAGAGTGCCGCGATGCCAGTCTACTCTGTGACAGCTTGACACCACAAATCAAACTAAGAAATGAAGACAAGTAACGAGACAACCGTCGCCAGGATCACTGCCAGTCTGGCTGTTACCTATAGGCTACGGCGCTCTAAAGCCATACTCTTTTCATTGTGTCTGTCATATCGGGGAGTGCTCTAAATGAAAACAGACCTCTTTCCCTCTTTTTCTTTTGTAGAATTTTTTTTTCCTTAGGTAAGGTACTGTAGGTTGAAGTGGAGCTCTGTCCCTCTCAGCACACAGAGGGATGTATTGTAGACTTCATTCTATTGAGTGAAAGAGTTGGATAGAGTCTCTGTTCCTTTTTTCCTCTTTTTTTTGCGCTGGGAGACATTCATCAACCCCCTCCCCCCTTCTTCTGATAAATGGTTGCTGTGTAGAAAAACGCATGTGTGGGTGTGCGCACACACTTACGAAGGCATGCCCATACAAACCCACCATCATGTTGGTGTAGATTTAGTGGCTCACTTGTGGTGTTTGTGGATCTATCCTGAACTAGTCGAAATGACACGGGCAGTGATGGGCCCAACAGGCTCAGCGATGGTATGCAGTTGCTTCAGGTTAACAAAGACCGCTTCGGCTTGGGATACGTTTTCTTGTTCTTGTGTGCTCTCAGTCACATATTCTTTTACACCGCTAGATGTGGAAGTGTCCTTGTGCTACCATATTCATATGCTTCGTAGGAGTTGGGGTTTAGGTGTCTTGCTGAAGGACAATTTGGGAGTAGCCGTTAATATAGGGGGCAGCTTTATTGATTCACTTAAGCCTGCCCAGAATTTTTTTATAGTTGGCTCATGATCCAAATGGACAATCTTTCAGTAGTTATTGCTCTCTTTTTGGGCTACCTGCCCCATGGCTGGCAACACAGTCAAAGCTCTGGGTCTCTCTGTTCCTTGGAGCCCGGTTGTGATGTAAATATTATCTTACTGCACTGTTCCCAAATCTGCCACACAGCAGTAAGCACCTTTGTGTCTGGATTAGTAATGGCTAGTTCAGAGGAAGGGAAGAGAAAAAGGGGATGGAGTTTCTGAGTGCTACCCCCGCAACCCTTGAGATGCTTTGCACATCTCTGTAAAGAAGCTTTTGCCCGTTTTCAGCCAAAATGTTTATGGTTCCAAATGGCCCGATGTTGTACACCATTGGCCTCTTCCACTATTCTTTACCCAAGTTCCCAATTGGTGGACGAAATAGAACACCTCTGATTGGCTCAGCGTTGCTCTGTTACTGAAATCACAATTTGTGATTGGCTGTCGTGCTGCTTTGATGAGTTCAACTGTATCCAACTGCTTTTTCTAAAGGAAGATAGGAACAGGACGAATAATGTTTCAGACACAAATACTCACTCTGACTGCAGATTAAGGCTAGTTGGAAGGATGCATTTCCAGCTAATGATTAGCAGGGATTTTCATTTGACTGATTTGATGGTTATTGAGTTTCACCAACTGTGTGTAGGTATGTTGGGTCATAGTACGGCAGTAGTAATAACATATATATATATATATATATATATATATATAATCCTACATGGATTATATATATTTCTTCCTAATTTTATCAGGCCATTGTCTGCATCTTGCTAGTGGGTGATGTTCTGTTTTAGAGATTCATTGTTCACCTGTTAAGTCAGATATTCCTTTGTGTTGAAAAAAATCATTCACATCTCTCAAATGTAGTCACAAACTCTCATTCAACAAAATACAACTTTATTAAAGCTATTACAAATCTTTTGACATCAAAAGGTGCCAGTCATACTATTGTTCTCACATGAAAAAGAATATAGGCGGTTTAAGCGTTTGAACAATGTTAGGAGGAGACCTGACTTATCTCAATAATCAAGGTTTATCAACCCGAGCCAGCCTTTCGGTGGGCATCTGTTGCATTGTCATTTGAAGTCACCTCATAGGAAGACGCCATTCCAATCACAGTTGCCAGTTCATTCACCCTCCCTCTGCACTTCTCTGCATTTGCTGGTTCTTTTGTTGTCTCAAACAATCTCTTCCTCACCTTGGGAGGGAGACAGAGAGAACATAACAAAGAGTAAAGGCGAAGAATTGATTTGTTGTGTCAGGTATAATAACTGATACCTGAATACCTTGCACCGGTGCTGGAAATTGTTCTGATAAGAAAGGTAAGCTGCTCTTAAATTTTTCCCAAGGTGATACTGGTTTTTGTACCTCAAATCACAGGTGATTTTGTTCTCACTCAGTTGACTCTCTCTGAGCGCTCCTTGATTGTATATGATGGCAGTGAACTGAGCGATGGTGATTCGCTGATGCTCACAAAGAGATAATTGCAGCAGTGGTATGGATAAGTGCAGCAGTGCCTGGAATACGTATGTTACAGACACGTGGACTGTTTGCTGTGGTTGGCTGAAAAGGGCTAGGTCACTAATCTGGTGACAGTTTAACCTACACAATCTGTTCTTATGCACACACATGTTCTTCTCCATGCACAAGCATACACACAGCAGTGTCAAGACAGGATTTATGCCCAGGCAAAGGCTAAGAGATCCAAAATGTCCTTGAAAGAGGAAAAAAAAAACTCCCTTTCCATCTCTTTCTTCCTTCTTCTCTCCTCTTTCCTCTCCTTCTTGTGGGAACAGATCTCTTTTTTCCAAAGATGCCCTAAATCCACTCCTGTAATTGCATAGCATTTCTGTCTGCTGAATAGAGAAGAAAGAAAAAAAAATGTGATGAAGTAGAAAAAAATAAAAACCCAGAATATTCTTTGAATGTTTCTCTCCTCTCCTCTCTGGCAGATCAATCGAGCTCCGAGCTTTGGGACCGATCAGAAGATTGATTACGACGTGAAGAAAGGGGTGCTGCTCAACGCTCTAAAACTCCTCAATATTCGGTACTGTTCTCTGCCACGGTCATACACACACATGCTCGTGCTTGCAGATAGACACACATGAATTGCATCTTGGGGCCCCATTAAGTTTCATGTGCACAGACAGGCAAACCTCACGTCAAACTTTATTTTATTATTTATTTCTCTGAATGTTTAAAGATTTCAATCGATTCTTTCAGTGTTCTTTATTTGGCAACCCTGAAAACTTTGTAATTACTTTGATGCACGGCACAATTCAGCTTCAGTCCTGTTTTGTTTTCAAACTGAGGACACAATAGTGACATTAGTCTGAAACTAACAGGAAGTTTGAGCTCTGGACAAAAAAAATGCTGTACTTGTAAATTTGTGTGTTGGTGCTGCTGTGGTGGATACAAAGACAGATAATGGCCAAGGTGCAAAGCTATGCCTCTATTGTGCGCTTTGTGCATCCTTCAATCAGACACGCTGTGGGTGTGTGTATGTGTGATAGGAACAGGATAACAGTTACGCTATCTGTATTTCAGAGTCCACATTGTTTATCTGTCTCTGTATATTAACATAAGCTTCCTGTGGTGGTCCTTTACTTTGCGGGTGTATTTGTTTGCCTGTTTAGGTTACACATACTGTCATTCTTGTTGTGTAATGTATTTCTTGTATATATGTAGTGTGTGTGTGTGTGTGTGTGTGTGTGTGTGTGTGTATAGTGTATAAAGTATATATATGTAGTGTGTGTGTGTGTGTGTGTATGTGTGTGTGTGGGTGTGTGCTGTGTGTGTGTGTGGTGTTGTGCGGTGTGTGTGTGTGCGTGTGTGTTTGCTGAGCATGCTTTTTCTGTCCCAAGGCTACAGTGCAGTCTGCCACTGATTGATCATCGTACACCAGACCTCTGGATCTCTGCTCTCTTTTTCCTTTCTCTCTCTGTGCTTGTCCTCCTCTTTACTTGCCTCTAATATAGTTCTTCAACTCAACTAGTCACACACACATTACACACACACACACACACACCACACACACACAACACACACACAGACACACAATGGATCAATTACATGCAGCACCATATATCTAGTTTGGCCAAGTGTGGAGCGTGGTGCAGCCATCCTACATGAAAACTCACTCCATCCTCCCTCCCAGCTTCAGACGGCACAAACAAATCTCTTATCAAAATGATTTGTTTAATGGCTGTTGTTTGCTGTGTTCCCACAGATTAAAAGGGGAGATTTGATTATTTCATGACAAATAAATCGTAGGAGGCCTCGAAAAGCGGCGGGGAGCTCTCTCCACTGGACAAACTGCTTATGTTCATGCTGGAGTGAATGAGGGTTTTGTTCTACCTTGCTCACTTTGTCCTTATATAGTAATGCTTTGCTTCCCAAAAGGGAGGGGTTGGTGGTGTGTAGAGGTAGGGTCGACTCTCAACTCGGCTCACAGCACCAACTGTATCAACGTGGGATCAATTCAGACCCGGCCGGGCATGGACATTGATGAACCTCAGCCCCCCAACAGCACTCAATATCCAATTTAAAGGGCCAGCGATTGACTAAAATGAATTGCCCTTTCTCCAGACTGCAATGGCCCACTTGTTCAGAATTAGCTGTCTGGTCCTGTTCACCCTGGGTTTGTCGATTTGTTTGTGTCTCAGCTCCATTTTTTATCTCTGTATTGTTGGATGTTTTATTAGGGGTTTTTTACTCCCACAATTATGTGATCAAAAGGCAAATTCAGGTCAGTCCATGAGTTAGGCATAAGACCTGCATGCTGTCAAGCTTCATCATACTTTACAGCTTTCATGAAACCCACTTTCTGCTGATAGCATCTATTCTTAAGGGAGTATGTAGAGTAAGAACTATTACAGGATGTGGTTGCAAAAACAAATGAGAATGGGAAAGAGCACTTAAAACATTTAAGACATTTGTTTCTCGACAGCAGCTAAACCTGTAAAAGAACGCTAATAACATATGCAAAGTATTATTGTAAAACAGATAAACTTGTCAGAGCTTCAGTGGGAAAACATTAAAAAAGGAACTGTACATGTTAATGTACTTGAAATGTGCATTCTGTTGACTCTGTGCTTGTTTTGTGTTGATCCAGAGCCAGTGATAAGAAACGCAACCTGGCCCAGCAGAAGGCAGAGGCTCAGAGACGGCTCTATGGACATGGCTCCATGAAGAAACTCTCTGCTGCTTCCTCGGACTGGGAGAAACAACGTCACACACTGGAGCGAAGGAGAGAAGAGCTGGTGAGGCACAAACAAAATATTAAACTAGTCCATTTAGTTTAAACCTTAATATTCACTACAAAAAGATTTGCTGAAAAAGAACATTTATACAGTTACACATATTCCCACCTGGGATCTGCTGAGTAAAACCACAATTCTCTCTGCTGGCAACTGACCAACTGCAGTGGAGCATCTGGGATGCTACGCAGCTGTACAAGGTGGTGCACCATGACTATGTTCAAGGGATTTAAGAGTGAAACTCATTCATTTCCCCACCCAGACTAGGGAATAAAACAATGGCTGTACAGTCATAAGCCCCGATCATAAGTCTCCAAATACCCCAAAAGCCTTTTAGGCCACACCAAAATGAACACAAAATGTGGCTTGGCTTTAGGGACAGGTGTTTAGAAATATAATTTATTAGACACATAAATCAGTTTGTAAAAAACAAACATTAGAAATTATTATTTTATAGGAAACTTCAGTAAAAAACACCTGTGCGTTTGTGTTATACACTTTCCTCAGGATTGAAACAAGAAAAGTTGAAAACCTTAGCAGAAACTCAGCTTCACTTACTTCTTACTCTGCGTCAAAAGAGTCGAAGTTTTCTGAGACAAGCATACCATTTAATTATTTTCTCTTTGAAGGAGTCGGGAGCTTTTCTCATATATATGAGGAAAAGTGGCAGCTACTAGTACTTTACGCCTCCCTCCCTTTTTGATTAGCCTTTTGATCAGCCACAGCAGTAATCAGCGGGAATAAGGAAAGATGGCGCAGAGGCACTATTTTAAAAAGGGCACTACCTCATCTTTAAGTGCTGTTATGGCTGAAGTGCGAGACCAGGTTCAGGTCTATTGAAGGCACACATCACTCAAAGCTCGATGATACTGCAGTGCCAGTAGTGGAGTGAGCACCTCCTCTCTGCTAAATGCCAAACTGGCCAACTGAGTTCCATAATTATACCTTTGTAACATATTAATAAAACAGTAGATTGAACAATTCCTCATTGTTTGGTGAGACCTACTTTTCTCTCCTCTTGCGTACACCTTTTTAAAACTTTATTCTTTCTTATTTAATAGAAGAAAAAAAATTAAGGTGGCTATGGAAGTGACTTTCACCTAAGAGATTTAATCATTTTCCTTTGGTTTTCTCCTATTTCTAGAAAGAGCGACTGGCACAGGTCCGCAAGCAAATCTCCAGGGAGGAGCATGAAAAGCAACATCTGGGTAACTACAGGTAAGGAAGAGGCAAACAACCGGGGAGAGGGGGCTCTCCCTTCAGGAACTCCACCCACTACACCGGTGCCAGCTCTGCTTACATTTATAGGGTCATCTGCAGAGCGCTAAGCTCTCAGGAGAATAAATAATGCTGCTGCAGAGAGAACAAACAAAAGAGAACACCCAATGTTTTGAGAGCGTGAGACGGAAGATTTAAGATTGAAAGAATATGTAAAATACAAAGGGAGAAATCAGAGGTAGTGTGTAATGGCAAGGTTCAAATTGCTCTATACACAATGTTTGCCTTTTCAGAATTTCAGAAATGCAAATTAGCATGTATACTTTTCCTGCATACTGCAAGCCATTCTCCATCTCGTCTCTCCCCCACACCTCTATTCTTTTCTCCTGTATCTCCAGCCGGGACTTTAGAAGATACTGAGCGTGTCAATTTTTAACAGTCACCTCACAGACGAGGCAGATCCAACCTTAGAGCATGACTCAGCAACACCAAGTTCTGATTTGCCGCTTATCCCTTGCAAATTGTAAATGCTCCTTCACCCCCTCAGTTTCTCTACCCGCCTTTGTCTCTTTATCCAACATGTACAAACATTTCCAGGTCTTGATTTCCTTTTCTCTCTCTTGGATACATTTTTTTTGGGCACACTCACAGACACACACACACCTACACAATTGGCTCACACAGACACATGCACTTTCCCTTCTTGCTGTCACCCCAAGTGGAAGTGACTTCTTGACTCACCACTTGACTGAATGGCTAGTCAGAAAGCTGATCCCAGCCTGCATGAAGTGCTGTCACCTCCTTCCTCTTTTCCGACACGCAGCCAGACAGTCAATCAGACAGGCTGAGGTCTGTCTGGAGCACCCCTAATAAAGACCTCTTAGCATTCAAATGGTGTCCCGTCGCAGCACTGGAGTCTGATTAACACACTGCTTCTCATTAGATGAGTTTGGGTAATGAACTTACTTACATTCGGCTATTAGATGAAACTTGCATCAGGTACAGACAAGCCAGGACCCTGTGGCATCAGAGGGAGACCCAGCTTGTTGATGCCATTGTTGATGTTCATTTAACGTAATTTAAGCAGTTGGAATCAGGAGGCTTGAGAGACACTGTTGACCAAAATAAAGATTTGATTTGATTTGAGATGAATGGAATATGAATGGAATATAGTTTTGTCTCCAGCCCAATTGGGAACATGTGGGAGGAAAATAGGCCTCAGCATGAAGATTTGATTTAAAAACTATTGTAGGGTCACCCTCAAATAAAATGTCCATATGTTCGGAGATGGAGGGTGCCAAAAGGAGGGAGCAGTTAACACCCACTATTAAAGTGTTGACCTTTTGCTTTTCAGTCAAGTGATTTATGTTTCTCTTTGAGAAATGACAAGTTCTGGCTCTTTTCATATATTATCATTTCAGTTCAGTTTATCCGGGTGTTATGAAGAGACTTTTTCCACATTTCTCAGAGTGCCTCTCAAGAGAAGGGAAAAATCTGGTCCGTGTACCTTAAAGGTGGTTAAAAAGTATGGCAGTTACAAAATCTCATATAGGATAGTGCCAAGGGAAGGAAATAAAGTGGCTGGTTCATCTCAGGTCTCTCGACGTTCAGCAGTTGCTTGATTTGAACTGCAGCAACTAAAGGAATGCATAAAATTGGGTCAACTTCTCAACAATATGGAAATCGTGTATTCAGAACAGCCTCTCTGCATAAAATAGTTAAATGGCATATTGGGTGCAGTAAAAGTTTTAATGGTGAAATTGTGCAATGTTAAACTTTACTTGACATTGTACTTGCACTATAATCTACAATTCAGATGCTAAGATGTGTGAATAGCTTAGTAGTAATAGCTTAGTAATCAATATTTACAAGAATCGGCCCATCATCATGATCATGCGGGGCATTCCGGCTGCATAAACAGTATATTCAACTTTATATCTTTTTAAAAAGGATGACTGTACTTTAACCCCCTTTAACTTTAACTCCCTCTTGATTCAAAAGGCCAACTCTGGAGGAGTCTGGCTCTAAATGTTTGTGTAGACTCCAAACTCTTTCCCCGCTTTAACACTCCACATGGGCCAATGCTTATTGTGATTAAAACACTGTCATTGTTTTGATCTGATGGCTGAAGCGGTGACTTGGATTTTGGAGATGTATTATGAGGATAACCAGGCAGAGGTTTATACATTGTCCTAATCCCCTCAGGCCTAAGATAAACACTCAGCACTGTTAAAACTAAGCAGAACTAAGCAGAACTATGCAGAACGTGTGAACATTAATAAAGACTGTGACAAACTGAAGTGCACATCTCACTGAGAGTGTGTGTGTGTGTGT